ACGTCTCGCCTTCCTAGAGACTCGAGTGTTCGCTCAGACGCTGGTGTGCTCATGACGTAGCCTTGGGCTGCCCGGCTCGCCGAGGCGGCTGTTTGACCGCATCGTTTCGCTGCGAGTGCAGCGGGCGCGCCAAAGCCCGGCAGCGGCACGGTTCCGGCTGCTGCACCGACTGTGAATGCGGATAGTTTCTCTTCACACCTCCGACCATGAACAGGCGTGGTCCCGGCTGCTGGAGGGGCTGGCGAGGCTGCAGCTTCCCGACTCGCTTCTCGAGCAGGAGTGGGCCCCTCAACCCTTACCTAATCCCAACCCAAACCCTAACCCTAACCAATACCCTGACCCTCACCCTGACCCTCACCCCGACCGCTCCTTGAGCAGGACTGGGCCTCCCTCTCTGGCGGCGAGAGCCAGCGCGTCTACCTGGCGATGATGGTGGCGCTGCGGCCGCAGGTCCTTCTCCTCGACGAGGTTTGGCGGAGATTTCGCCGAGATATCCCCGAGATGCAGCCAAGATCGACGAGGCGACGAGCGCACACACACGCGACCCACACGCGCACGCAGAATGGGGGAGCTGCTCCCCTAGGTGACGAGTGCGTGCGACGGCGAGGCGACCGCGCTTGTGGAGGCGCTGGTGGCGCAGGCCGCGGTCGGGGCGGTCTGGATCACGCATGACACGGCGCAGGCGTCACGGGTGGCCACCCGCATTGTGGAGTTCCAATTAGTGGCTTGCGATGCTCTATGCTGACCGCGCCCACGGCTCTACTACGGTTCATCCTCGTCGAACTACCGTTCGCGCTGAATCGCGCCCTCCTCTCTAGTGCTACCTTGTAAACGGACACCGCGCCCAGTAGTGCAGCCGACGCGGCCCAGTAGTGCAGCCGACGCCACACCGAGCGTGTCATACGAACCTTATTAGCGCCGTGGTGCCGTCGTTGCCTTGCGGCGTGCGTCCATGGACAGTACTCAGTAGCAGTTCTCGTTCAGTAGCGTGTACCTATTTCCAACTAATCCGCATCTACCGTGTCCTAACGTAGTCTCTACTTAAGAAAGCTCCAGCAAGCAGCAAAACAAAAACACCCCAATGAGTCCCACGCTGCACGCAGAGTCCGAAGTGCGAAGAAGTTCTCGAGTCTCTCGACGCACGACGCCCTTTATTTCCGCGCGCAACACCACACACCAGCGATCGCACAGATGTGAAACACGCACACTCCCCCCCCCCCCCCCCCCCGAACACCTAAACCATTGGAATTGCGACATCGGGGTAACCCCAGAAAAAGAAAAAAGTTTGGCTCCTTTTTCTTCTTTCTGGCAGCATGAGCGGGCAGCCTCGCCGTCCTGTCTCGGGGCGACCTGGCCTTGCTGCGCGGTTTCCTCTCTGGGCGGCGGACGCGCGGCACGTCGCTCGCGGCCCAGCTCGACGCGCGGCACGACACCGAGAGGCAGGACACGCTGCTGACCTGGGCCGCTCGGCACGGGCAGGCCGAGGCGGCGCGGCTGCTGCTCGAGGGCGGCGCGAGCGTCGGGGCGACGAATGATGACGGCGCTTCCGCGCTGTTCATCGCGTGCCAGGAGGGGCAGATTGAGTGCGCCCGGCTGCTTCTCGAGGCTGGCGCGGCGACCGACCAAGCAGACGCCAGAGGCGCCACGCCGCTGTCCATCGCGTGCCTGCAGGGCCATGACCAGTGCGTCCGGCTGCTTCTCGAGGCGAGCGCGGCGGTCAATCAAGCCAACGGCAGCGCCACGCCGCTGATCATCGCGTGCTACAAGGGCCACCTCGAGGTCGCCCGGCTGCTGCGCGACGCTGGCGCGGCCGTCAACCAGGCCGCGGCGAACGGTGCCACGCCGCTGTTCATGGCGTGCCAGGAGGGCCATCCCGAGTGCGTTC